GATATACGAAAACTTGTTGTTCGACCAATCTATCGGAGAAAGAGAGGTCGATCACTTCTCTCTGTGTATATGTTCATGACGATCTTCTGTACCTAATGCTTTCCTTCATTTGCTTACTAGCTAGCTAGCGTGTCGAGTCATCTCTATACGTATAGTACGTAGCGTCGACCAAGCATGAAGATAAGAGTGGAGACTTCTCTTTATTAGCTAGCTAACTCAATATATGAAACCCCTAAATTAACCATACAAAACCCCAAAACTCCCAACACCCCCCCCCCTCAAAAAAAAAAATTCCAGCCCCTGAACTGCTGACGCGTGGAAGCCTTTTGTTCCCGGTTGGTGGCACCAACCGGGACAAAAGGCCCTCCTGCTTGGGCAAGTGGCAACGGCCACGTGGAGCCCCATCTGTCCCAGTTCCTGGGTGAACTGGGACTAAAGGTACTGGGCTTTACTACCGACCCTTTAGTCCCGGTTAGGTAACCGGGACAAATGGGCCTCATGAACCCGGACAAATGGGGCTTTTTCTACTAGTGGGTTGTAACATCCCCAACACAGACGACGTCGAGCTCGTAGCACCGTCGAACCACAGTCATAGCATCACGCGACACCGATTGCGGCTCCGTCGACCCGCGGTTGTAGCATCCGCTATCGCCGGTTCCAGCATCCGTCACCATCAGCCCCAACAATCTCCATGACTGGTTGTAGCATCCACAAATGCCATTTCCAGTATCTGCCATGGCCGGTGCCAACATTTGCCATGATCAACTAAAGCATTTGCCATCGCCCGTCCCAGCAGCCTCCATGACCGGTTCCAACAAATGGGTGTCATCTCTCCTGCATCTACGGGTGCCTGTTGTAGCACTGTGGCGCTCGGACACATCTACATCACAGATGGGTGTCGGGCTTGTCACCGATCGATTCATGTGTCGTGTGGCCGCACCATGCTTACCGATGGGCCCCCATCGTTGTCCCCGAGGGTCGCCGTAGCAACACCAGATGCAGCAACAACAAAAAATCATCGCATCACGGAGGCCA